ACCCACAGGGCACAGTAGAAGTCTGTGTTTTATTGTTGTTGTTGCTTTTTTTATAAGAAACATTGTTCAGTTCTGGATTTTTCTTATGTTTAACAGGGAACAAATGAAATCCTTAGAATGTACATAGCACTTGCTGGTATGCAACATGCGGGGAAACACTTGCAAGCAGTGTTAAAGTGAGTTGTTGCATTAGTGATTTAGTGCAGTTTCCAAATCATTATTTTTTAAAAACATTTTTCCAAAAGACTGAAATGGCCAATCACAAGGAAAGGTTGAAATGACGGTCCAATGAATCACGTGATGAAAGACTTAGGGCGGGAAACGTGAGTGACTGAGCCGCTGTTGGTTTGGTGACTGGCATCTAATTTCTCCTTACAATATCACCCCTGAATCACATATAAAGGTCAGGAGAATAAAGGAAATGATCATCAACTAAAGAAGCTCTTGCTTTGTATACAGCTTCTCCTTGTCTGCACCATAGGAAATGTATAGAGAACAGTATGGAGAATATGCATACTGATGTTAGGGTGTAAAGGTTTATAAGATTCACTCCTTGTTGCTTAATTCTGTGTAAACCGGAATACATTTCAGCGGTAAAGTACCAGTTGGCCAAACTAGTGAAGCAAGGAAATTTTGGTTTTATCATTTGAGCCGATAATGTACATTGGCCATTCGCCATTCGCTCTGACGAAGGGCTAACGCTCGAAACGTCAGCTTTGAAACTCTACGGTGACCAATTTACATTTATCAACTCAGTCGATAAAATCAAAATTACCTTGTTACTCCCACGGACACAGCACTACAATTTCTCTAGAAACTAAATTCAAGCTAGTGAAACAGTTAGGTTCTTTTAATGTTATCATACCCAGTATGTAAAAAGTCAAGTGTTATTTGACTGATGTAGAGAGACAGTTTAAAGAAATTTTCCTCTTAGTTGTGATCCCATCGTCTTGATTATGAGTTTGATTCTTTAACCAGATACCTGAAGAACCCTTTTGGAAATGTTGAATTCGTGACGGACTTCGTGAAGAATAGAGCTCTCTATGCCTTGGGACTAAAGGGAAACCTCCAGGGAATTGCCGAAGTTACGCATCCACAATTGGCGGTAAGTGTGACAAACTCTTTAAAAGGCCTACTCTGGGGCCTTAAGTCGCCCTAACTTTGGGCGACTTTGGGCAATTTAAGGCGACTTAAGGCAACTTAAGCAAAATTGGCAGAAAAAACATCGCGACTTTAGGCGATGTAAGGCAATTTAAGGTGACTTAAAGCGATTTTATTTGACTGAAGTGATAAAATCAGTTAGCAACAGTCTCTTCATAACCTTAAAAACATTTACAGAATCCCTTGCAATAAACTCAATAGTCATGATTAGAGTGGGGTGAATAGGGTCAATTGGGAAGGGTGGAACCCTTATAACATTGCGTAACCATTAGCGACTTAAGGCAACTTAAGGCGACTTAAGGCGACTTAAGGCGACTTTAGGCAACTTAAGGTCCCAGAGTTGGCCTTTGAAATGAGCTCTTTGAAAAAATGACGAACATAGTGACAAACTATGATGGTTGCAAACGCGTCGCTATGGTTTCAGATAGACAACTGGAAATGTAGTGATTTAACCAGCGACAGACTTTTAGTGAGAGGGTCTTCTGTTTTTGGAAACTTGTGTCCGTACACTACAGATGGCGACGGGCAAGTGACATTTACTTCTGGATCGCGGGTCTCTTCTCTCTCTTTCTTTTTAAAGGGCAGGAGGTGGGAGAAGATAATCTCTTTTGGGAGAGGGGTTTTCTTTCTTTATTTCAAAAGGCTCATTTTTTCAAGGGCTCGTCCCCCCC